TTTAAATATTTGGATTTAAAAATAAAGTCATATCATCATTCTCTTACATATGTATATGTAGTATGAAAAGCAAGTTCATTCAGAATTAACATATTAAATTCGGGCAAAAATCACGAATTACCCAAAAAACCTCCCATTATTGTAAAATGATTTTAACAATGGTCATAAAACGAGATAAGTTTGGAATCAAACCTTTCACCGAACCAATCACGAAAGAAACTAAAATTATTTCAAAATTTATCTGCGAGACAGTCAAAATAGGGATTGTGTAACAGATGGTTCCACATGCGGAGCAAGACCCGTTCGATGAATATCTCATTAACCAAATAGATTGGATCTAATTTAAATTTTTAACCAGTATCCACTTTGGGTGGTTGAACAAATTACATTCTACTCTTCGAGGAAAGTAATACAAATATTTATATAACAGAGGGATTAAAATATTAACTGTACACGAGCGACATACTCGACACCATGCAAAAACGCAAATACTGAACACTGCAGTCATTTTTTTGAATCAATCAATAATCAGACAGATGCATTCTCAATATATCAATTTAGAAGTATTATTCTACTAATCAATTTTTTTTAATTAAAAATATATAATTAAAAAAGATCCCGACTTTATAAATACTTGCCCTTCATTTCTATTAAATTGGTTTGTTTAATTTAAGTGCCTCTTGGCTCTCTTTCGTTGCTTTTTTTTTTATCTTTTTTTTAAATTTTCTCCTTTTGTAACGGAAAAGGTGAGAGCTTTGCTTTTTTTCCTTTTTTCATTCTTTTCACCCTTCTTTGACGAAAAAGAGAACGTTAATAAATAATAATTATTATTGATAACCAACACCAATAGTTTGCCTGTAACGATCTGTATTTTGGTAACGAATAATAGCATACCGGAACGTTTCTTCTGCACTATAGCTGCAAAAAACCACTTCTAAAGTTTCGAGTTTTCGGCTTTTATTTACCGTATCAATTTTTAGCACTCACTTAATGATTTTTTTGAGACGACACACTCCTGTTTTTACAATTAACAATTTTTAAACTATTATACGAAAAAAAAAAAAAAAATACCATAACAATCTACTTTCCTCACATATTACTCGCGCCGTTCTCGGCCATTTTGCATCTTATTATAAAAATATATCGAATATTATTTCTGCCTTATAGTACTTAAACTTTCCTTCCTTTTTAATTATTTTTTTTTCTTGGTTTCGTTTCGTTTATATATATAAAAAAAAACATCCGAAACCATCGTGAATAACAAACCAAAAAGTGCTATAAAGTACCTTTAATTATTCTTATCATTCTTATCATTTTACTCGAGAAAAATCAATCCTAAACGTTAAGAAAGTTAAAAAAAAAAATCCACCGGGGGTTTTTTTTATTTTTTTTATATTGACTTTTTTGACTACCAAACATACCCATCTACGTCCCAACTACGTACCAACACGTTACCAGCATATATAATCTCAACTAATTATTATTTTAAAAATGTCTAAAATATCCAAGGACATCGATTTACAGCAAGAGTTGAACAATTATCAAAATCTAAATTGTTCGGTAATTATTTTTATATTATTTTTTTTTTTTTTTGGATGGGGAAGTTTAGCATAAAAATTCATATCGTTCAAAATTTTTATTTATTTATTTTTTTTAAAAAAAAATCATATTAGCTTAACGAACAACTCGATCGTACTCATAAAGAAAACAAAATATTATCAGATGAAAATTCTTTCTTTCGTAAAAAAGTTACATCATTTCAACAACAAATCAGTAACAATCATAATGAATGCGTTCGCCTTGAATCGGAATTATATCAACAAGTGCAAGAATTAGAAAGGTTAAAAAAAGAAAATGTTGGATTCTTGAAAAATAAACGGGAGGTTGAAAGGAAATTGAGAGAGGAGGTAATAAAGCTTCTTTTTTTTTTTGAATTAAAAAAATTTTCGAGAAATGAAGAATATGCTAACATTCTTTATATGGGATTTTTTATCAGACACAAGCATTTGAAAAAGATCGAATTGTGTGGCAAGAACGTGAATCAGAATTGCTTGATCAAGCAAAGGCATTACAAGAAACCATCAATGTTCTGGCACATCAAAATGAGCAAGTTTCACAAAAGAAAAATGGTTAGTTCTAATTAAAATGATGTATTAGTTATTCCACTGCTTTCACATTATTTCGGAATAGACTATACACCACGGGATAACCAGCCCGTGATTTGTGTTATTTAGAAAGTTGTATGAGTGGTTCGACCTTTTTTTCAATAATTAATAATTTTCATCTTTCTTTTTTATTTGACACTCATATATATATATGTAGAAGATATTTCACATTATACCACTGTTCGTGAATTAAAGAGTGCTCAACGAACTATCAAAGAGATAGAACGACGTAATAATGAAATATCTGGTGAGCTTGATAAAGCCAAACAAGCAACCACAGAATCAATGAACCTTAGCAAGAGTCATGTACGTAGAATTCAACAATTAGAGAATGAATTATCTCAAGTGAAACACATGAATCAAGCGTTAATGGAAGAAAATGAAGGATATCAATTATTATTGCATGAAAAGACAATGAAAGGCGAATTTATGTTGAACCCCATCATGCAGGTAATGATTTTAAATAACTCGATTATTTAATGTTTTTAACATTTTTTCATTAACACGCATTTTTTTTTACTTTAGCGTAATGGTATATCCACAGAAAAAAAATGTACGGGTACCATTGAAAAGGTTACAAATGGTTCTGAGAGTTTGCCCTCACTTGATGAAGATATAGTTAAAACTAAAAATTCAAATGCAACAGACTTGGCTGCTGAGTTGGATCGTGCATCTTTGTTTACCAACTATTTACATGGCGAACGCGTTCATAAAGAAAGCGATACCACGATGATTGACAGTATGTATAATTCAATAATTGTTTCATTCGTATTTATATGATATTCTTTTATACTTAATTTATTATTCTGATCTATAGAATTTCAAGATAAAATTCAGTCACTTACATACGACAATAAATGTTTGAGACTTTATATTGAAAAGATTCTTAACCGTATTGTTGAGACTCAATCTGTAGAAATTTTGTCTTCCGAATCAGAATGGAAGAAACCATCCGCGTCAAGTCCTGTAACGCCTGTTACAGGGTCATTTAGTTTCAATAATAATAGTAGTAATAATAAAAATAACAACCTCCTAGGCCATGAAAATAAAACTAAGAAAATTGAAAGGCGTAAGACTGTGTCCGTGTTACACTTCCGTAGCACCTCTCAACCTCAAAGTACCTTTACACCAAACAATAAAATAATAGCTGAAGAGCCTGATAAGATTTATCCCTTACCAAGTGAAACAAATTCAAATGAAGATACAATTACTCTTGGTGATGCACCAAAACGTGTACAAAGAAGAAATTCTTCATCAGGTACTAAGAATGCAAAACGTTTTAGCATCTTTAATTGGGGATCTACAAAAGAAGAAAGGAAGGAAGATCCATTTATGAGACCTATGATCCTCGTACAAGAAAAGGAGAGGAAAGAATAAATTATGTATTGATGATTAGTTCTTTTTTTTTTTAAAAAAAAAAAGATTTTGGGATTATTTTATTTTTTACCTTTTTCAATTCTTGCCATTTATAAATTTTAAACATTATTTTTTTTTTGTTTTACAACTTTCGATGTAAAAAATGTTTTTATTGTTGAGATTTATCAAAACTTGTTGTAGTTATATTATATTATATATATGGGTATGATTATTTATTTATTTTTTTTTTGTACATTGATTTTTTCTATCATTTTTGTTATATTTATTTTTTTTTTTTATTTTTATTTTTTTTTATTTCTAAAAAAAAAAAAAAAAAAAAAAAGTTTATGCGCCTTTTTTTTTTTTTCAAAAAAGGGCATTTTGAAAAATATAAAAAAATAATAATAATTTTTTTTTTTTTTTTTTTGTTATAAATAAACATCGAAATCATTAAATTTTATAACGATAACCTATGTTTTACTTTTTCTACTTTCTTTGATCTTTTTCAAGTTGTTCTTTGCACGTGACTTTGTAATCATGTGCTTTTACTACATCGCTTGACGTCACATAGGGATGTTAACGGTTTGATCAGTTCGGTTTCGGTTCGATTTTCAGCGAAAATCGAACCGTAGACTGATTTATAGACCGGTTTGAATTGTATTCTAGACCGAAGTTTAAACCATTCGATATTAAC